AAAAAAAAAAAACTTTCTTAGTTGAAAAGCAGAACAAACACACTGTCTTAGGGGCTATTCAAATTTAATTCTTTCCAACAAAGGTAACTATGAGCTGGTAGCTATTACTGGGCTTTATAGATTAATCATTTACCCTGCTGCAAGTAATATGCCTTAGTCTGGAGTGGATGATTTCCTGGACCTGGTATATGAAGAAACGAAGGGAGCCTTTTTTGCTGTTATTTCCAATACTAATGTACGTATAAAAGATCCAGCTTCCAAGAGATTCTCCTAGGAGAAAATAGCACAATCTGATGAGGTCCACTAGTTTTTGTCCACACCTGGAAACTATACTGGGAGCAAAGCAATCTCTTCCTAGAGGGTTTGTAGCAAAGGTCTGTTACCTGTTAGCAGCAAAAGTGCCACACACTAGAGTGTGTGCTGTATGCTTAGCTAAGTGTGACCCTGGATTATTCTTATTTTTGGATGACCCTGGATTTTCCTCTATTTGGGGAAGAGCAAACTCTTGAGGAATATTTTATTTTGAGGACTAAAATGATAAAATGAACTTCCAGGCAGTGAGCTGGGATAATAAGAGAAGACATACTGACCTATGAAATAACATCTCATTGCAAATGGTGAATCTAATTTCCTAGTGGAGTGTTGTGTTAGAACATGGTCTGAGGCAATGAGAGACCGCTCCAGTTTAGACAGGCTAGAAGTTAGCCAGGCAGGATGTCAGGAGACCAGTGACAGAAGTCCCATCAAAGACTTTTTTTTTCTGAAATCACGGCATAACGTCTCCTCTCACTGCATCACAGACTTTTACCTGGTACCATCTGCAGCCCTTGGTTTCCTCAGGCCAGGCACTAGGAATACTATTTACTCTTGGGGCACAGTTGTGTTGGGGACACACACACACACACCTGGCCAAATCCCTGTCAATCATTCTCACTTACCAAACCAGTCCAAAAGAGAAAGAACAGGAACAACCATGTAGTATCCGTGCATTTCCTATAAATCTGAGGTCGCCACTCTCTCTGCCTGCATGCGCTCTCTGCAGAAACCTTCCAGAAGAAGAAGGGGGGAAATTTAAAAAATGGGAATAAATAATCATATGCTTCCCCTCCTGGCCATTGATCCTAGACTTACTAGAAGACAGCTCAAAGTAACTTTTTTTTTTTTAAGATTTATTTATTTGTGCATACAGAACTGGGGTACAGGCCAGAGGCTCAGGGGTGTGAGAGGCCTCACCATAGACAG